GTAATTTTGAATCGAGTAGTGAAAAAAACTTTGGCTAAGGCTAGTATGATAGAGAATTAGAGAGAGAAATGTAGAAGAAGATAGAGAATTTGGTGCTTTTTTCATGCATAGGTTTATATAGACTTATACATGACCCTCCATACTCTACACATTTACTTTCATAGAATACAAAGAATCATCTCTTAGAATATCATCTCACTTATTATACTTTGACTCTTAGGATTCCCTTCCACCTAGGATATCATACTATGGCTCTTGGATTGTTTAGGTTGCTAAACACTGATTAGTTCAACAGCACCATATAAAAAAGACGATCGTCTTCTCCAAGATCACACTTACGCTCCATCCACTTATTATCTCCAAGTTGGCAAAAGAATAGAAGATCATGATCAATGTCTGCTAGTAAAACTATACAGTTTCCATCGGTCAAATGTGGAGATGATAGAAGGCAATAATATCTTGATGGAAATTTCCACCTGAGACGTGTGTTGGTAAAAAATTATACAGCGCAAGATTTTCCTATCACCAGATTAGAAGGAAAGCAAAAGAATAAAGCGGAATAACAACGCACAAATTTTAACGTGGTTCGACACAAAATTACCTACGTCCACGGGCTACTGCCGATCTTTCACTAGGGGGAGAAAATTTACAAGTGTATTTACACACAACTCACAAGAAAAATATCTCTAGAATTTTTTCTCACAAAATCACTCTCTAGTTTTGCCTCTCTTCTCAAATATACTCAGAAGGATTGAATACGCTCAGCAGATGAGGATGCAAATTAAAGGGAGAGCAGGGGGGTTTATAGCCTCCATGCGCACAAATCAGACCATAAATTGTGGCCTATCAATCATCACCCCTTCCTTTTTTTTTCTTCCTTTCTTTTTTTTAACCCTTGCTCCCCTGCTTTCTGTGGTTGTCTTTGTTGACAAAAAAACAGCCACCAATCTTGACAATCTTCTACTTGAAGACTGATTTTAATCTGTCTTCACGTCTTGATCTATACAGCAGCTCTTTCCCGATCTTGATACTATTGCAGGCCAACTGAAGCTAAACACAGCTTCAATTTGTCAGTAGTCACCGTCTTTGTCAGCATGTCTGTCAGATTTTGAGCTCCACTGATCTTTTCAAGTTTTAAAATTCCATCTTTCAGAAATGACCGGATAAAATGATACCGCACATGTATGTGCTTCGTTCTAGAATGAAAAGACGGATTCTTCGCTAGATAAATAGCACTTTGACTGTTACAATATAAGACATTGTCTTCTTGTTTCTTACCTAATTCATCCAAGAAACTTTGAAGCCAAACCATTTCCTTGATGGCTTCTGTAACAACGATATATTCTATTTCAGTTGTGGAAAGAGCAACTATCTTCTGTAGTTGAGAAACTCAACTCACTGCAGTACCTCCTAGAGTATAGACATACCATGTAGTGCTCCTTCTTATATCAATATTTCTTGCTAAATCAGCATCTACATAACCTGTTAGTATTGTATCTTCACCTTTGAAACAAAGTGCTTTACCTGTGGTGCCCCGTAGATATCTGAGGATCCATTTGACTGATTCCCAGTGTACCTTGTCCGGATTATTCATGCACCTGCTAATAGTTCCCACTGCTTGAGCAAATCTGGTCTTATACAAACCATGGCATACATCAGACTTTCAATTGCTGAGGCATACTTTGGAAAGTCTTGAAATGAACACCTAAAGGTGTACTCACTGGTTTAGCATCTTGCATATTGAACCTGAAGAGTACTTTGTTGATGTACTCAGCCTGTGATAGCATCAAAGTCCCAGACTTCGTGTCTCTCTTGATCCTCATTCCAAGAATCTGCTTTGCAACGTCAAGATCATTTATTGCAAACTGTTTTGACAATTTTTGCTTCAAATTTATAATCTCTTGCAAATCTGAACCTGCAACGAGTATGTCATCAACGTATAACAATAAAATAATGAAGCAATTGGCAAACCTCTTGAGATAGCAATAATGATCTACTTGGCATCTAGTAAAATCGTTGCTGCCCATAAAGCTGTCAAACTTCTTGTAGTACTGCCTGGGAGCTTGTTTTAATCCATACAAGCTCTTCTTCAAACGACATACTAGATTTTTCTTGCTTGCCTTTATGAAGCCTTATGGTTGCTTCATATAGATCTCCTCCTTCAAATCACTATAAAGGAAAGTTGTTTTTACATCTAACTGCTCAAGATGTAAATTCTCAGCAACTACATGTGCCAAGGATGGAACCAGAACTCATCAAGTTGGTATGTCATAAACCACACTTTTCTTACTTTACCTCCTTCCATGTACAACAGTAAGTAATACTCAAAACAACAAGTACAGCTTCTCTCAAGAGCTCACAATGGCTGATAGTAAGATGGTAAATAAACGTAGTGCAACTAAATTCATAGGCAAAAGATATGGGTCGGAGATTCTTTTCAACAAAATGTTGGAAGTAGTGGACACGGCAACACCACCACCACCACCAGAAAAGAAGTCACAACGCGAATAGTGAAGAGCAGAGGAGGAAGAGGAGGTTCTAGTTAATGACGCCATCTTGTTGAAAGGCTTGTCCGAGCTACATTTGCAGAAAACTTAAATTGCACCATATTCACTATCCTTACCATCTGCAATTGTCAGTTCTTGAGGGAGGGATTTAGTATTTGTTTGATCGTTATTTAGTGTTTTATATCAGAGAAGGTAAGTAAGATGTGTGGTTTCTAGCATATATCAGCTTGTAGGATACTTATCAACAGGTAAAGCGTGTGAGTTCTCAAGGACCAAAAGAAAAGCATGTCTTGAGCTTGTAGGATACTTATCAACAGGTAAAGCGTGTGAGTTCTCAAGGACCAAAAGAAAAGCATGTCTTGCTTAATTAAGCATAAAATAATTATTTTTTTAAATAAAAACATAAGCTAAGCAAATACTTCTTTTATCAAAAAGTTCATCATAGTTTCTATTCCAGAAAAGATGTCGTACAACCTGAAAACATTTGTCATAATTTCATAAAGACTGATAAGAATAAAATCAAAACCATAGAAGTATACATGGATAGTGCACTGGTTATATGCGCATAAGAAACATGTTGCTGACACATCTGACTGCACAGCTACGATATTTGATGTGTATTCGGCTAGAGAAACCTGCAGGTTTGCCCCAGCCTGGATTATCTCAGCATTCTATAAGTTAGTATGAGATGTTTGTAAAAAAAAAAGGTTTTAACTCAACATGACATCTTCTAAAACAATAACAAAGATCTTTCATTAGTACAAGATGCCCTCTGTGTTAATTTTAGTGGAATCTTTAGATTGACAATTTGGAACTCCTATATATCTAATATAGATAAACACACACACAGATAGATATATACATGTATACACACATCCGTACATGTATACATATGTTGCTATTCATACGCTCGTATATACATGCGTAGATATATTTTCGCAATAGCAGTCTTAATTGAATTTTATCTCTGTTTGCTTTTATTTTAATTTAGATGACATGGTTGGCTACCAGTGGCAATCAACTTAAAAGGGCTGATGCTCGTCCCTTATTATTTATGCCTTAAAAGGAAATATCTTTTGTCAAATTCTCTATTATAATTAAATTAGAATTAAACTAATAAAATTTTCCCCTTGCATTCGAAAAGATAAGAATCGACAGACATTAGCCTAGTAAACCTAAAACATAATTTGTTTCAAAATAATAGATTTCCAAACTAACAGCTGTTTGAGGGGGGGGAGGGGGGGGGGGGGGGGGGGCAGGGCGGGGGCGGGGGGGGGGGGAGTGTTCAACGTAATTACAAAAATATGAACACATACACATTTAAATTTCATCTTTCGTAAGAGGATCAATGCTAGTATTAAAAAAATAAAATTTTAATTTCATTATAAAGATATAGTAAACAAGGATAAGATCCAAGGATCAAACAATCCATGTTGTTTGTTGCCTCTACAATATTGTGTAGTGCTGGACTATTGTTGCGTAAGCTGTAGTTGATACAGAGATATGCCAATTCAACTTAGAGCGGTGTTAGAGGCACACCATGAGGCACACATCCGGTCACACTCCCCCACCTGCTACAGTGCAGGGGGCCCACAGGAGATTTTTAAAAAAAATCCCCTGTGGGGGCCCCCTGCACTGTAGCAGGTGGGGGAGTGTGACAGCAGGTGTGCCTCATGGTGTGCCTCTAACATTTCTTTTCAACTTATTGCAGAGAGAATTCCCCGTACAAACAGAATAAAAAAGAAAACTGCAGGTTGAGTACATATAGCAGGTGTAACTGACACCAAGGTATACTAATGAAGTGATGATCACCTTAATTGGCAGAAATTTTTGTACAACAAGCTATAAGTGTGGTTCCAGCCTTTTGTTTAATACCAACTGTCTTGGCAATTTCAGCTTCCTGGTTTTGTTCTGTACCTGAGATCAGTTGTTTAATTCTGTACAAATAGTCCTAAATACAATCATAACAATTAGTTTTGGTGCTCTCCCTTAAAAAGTGTGCTAATGTGCATGGGTTGTTGGTACTAACTGCTCATGGTATATACCCATGATTCATGCTTTCTCCACTCCACTGCAAATAGCCCAAAATTGAAATGTAAACAGAAACAATAAGATAGCTATCAACTCTGAATGTTGGAATGATATGATAGAATGTAATATAGTAGTTTCAAATTTCAACCGGTCGCCCTGATACCATATTAAGACTACTACATCAAAACTACAAAGGTACGGTGAGGATTGAGGATTGTAATTTTATGTTCTAACAAATTAGATTTATGTATTGTGAGAGAAGCAACATTAGTAAGCGCATCTGTAAATTTTAATTTCATTGTAGAGAGTTGCCAAAATGATAAGGTCCATGGATCAAATGATCGAATAAATTTCTTGCCTGATTGATGACACGGAAAAAGTCTTGCTGGTTGATGCAGGGTATATAAATGACAATCTTAAGCTTGCTTTTTTTTGAAGTGAAAAACAGTGTGAGGTACCATGTTCAATAATAATATATGTAACTAAGATGAAAAGTCTATTACAAGTCCAACATAGAAGCAGAGAGGAAGGATCAAAGAAGAGAAACAGCTGGTAAGGAGCGGACCTAGTCGTCACCTACGAAGCTAAGCCTACTAAGATCCTTCACTCAAAGTCGAAAGAAAGACATCACCAGCTAATATAGAGTCTGGTACAACAAAATCACAAACACTGGAAGCATACTGCACAAGAAAACAAACAAACTAGTTTCTGATAGTATAAGCAGACGCTGGGAGAGACGTACAGAGAGAGAGCCACCGAACAATTCAGATATCTTCAGAGAAGTTGTCACCGCTAGCACCTGCGATGTTCTTCTTTACAATTTCCTACATCTTCAAGTTAAGAGCCAACCTACGAATGCACCTCGCAAGTCTATCTTCTTCTACCCCTGTCCAAAAGATGACATACCTTGCGATATTAGCAGCAATATGAATAGGATTTGTTTCTAAATATAAGAAGATTTCTACAATTCCACATCCACCAGCAGAAGCAAGGTAACAAGTATTTCCAAATGACTTTAATGTCTGAACAAAGATTGGGGTCCCTGTATAAAAGGATCAGCGCCTCCATGGATTGAGGTCATCTAACAAAAGAAGCATGAGGGAGGAGGGAAGACCAAACCGAACACGCAAAAGGGCAGTGTATAAACATGTGGTCTTGAGTTTCGACCTCCTGGTAGCAGTAAGAACAACGTGGGTCACCAATCCAACCTTTGGTGATCAAATTAGCTATGGTATTAAGCTTTTGTTTAGAAATAATCCAAAACAAGACCTTAACCTTTAAGGGGATGTGAGATTTCCAGATGAACTTATAAATATTGGACTTTAGCCCACCAAAGGTGATGTTGATGTTGGCACAACAAGATTTTACTGAAAAGGAGCCAGATGGATGCAGGATTCCTATTTCTATACTAAACTTCACTGAATTTGATCACAAGCTCATTTGTTTACTCCAATCTCCAGGTCTAGTTTCTATGTAAAATGGAATTTAGTGGATCTGGGATCAAACGCCAATCTCCAGATCCAACTTTCTATTTCTTTATTAAGATCCAAAGAACTATAAGTGGAATAATTCCATTTCACAATCTTAGAGCATACCTCCAAGGACTGTGATGGCGGCAGGTGACAGACAATGGCCAAGGCGACGAACGACACGCGGGTGACGAGCGACGGAGTCGGGCGACGACAACGGGGCGAAGGGTGACGGGTGATGGGAGATGGGAAGGAGAGAGAAGGAGGAGGCGGGAGTGGTGACTGGGTTGGGGGCGGCGTCGGCTGGGGAAGGGGTGATGTCGGTTGGGAAAGGGGGCGGCGTCGGATGGTGGACGACGGGCGAGAGAGGAGGGGAGAGGTCGGTT